TAAATTAAATTGGAAGAAAATATGTGAAAATTTATAATTACCTTTATATTTTTGTTCATTTTCAATAAGATTAACCATTATTTTTCTTTGTTATTGTAAGAAAACAGAGAAAACTAAATAGTTCTTTTACCTAATACTAGTTAATACAATGCGACAAGTCATGAGAAAACAGATCAACACATGCTTAGATTACGGTTGATATCACTCCTTCTAACACGTGGAACAAACTTTTAGTCATGCTTTTCTATGGTACAATAACAATAATCAATACTCATGAAAAACAAAGGAGAGTAGAACTTTGTTCTATTAGATACACCCAAAATTATACGGTTACAGTTTCAAAACAAACCGACTATTTATTTTCTAACAAAGCGAATAATTAATGTCAAAATCTATCTCTAAGTTTAAATACAAAACATATAAAATAATGTAATATGAAACCTAGATCTTGCGTAATGTTTAACAAAGTTGATCATTTATTGTTATCTCAGCATATCCTTGCTACTGTTATCAAAAGATTTAGATATAAAAAGTGTACACTAAAGCAAAGTTTGGTAAAATTTTAGGTAGCAATTTAAAACAAATACAATGATTACATCATATTTTACCTTGACTCATACGCGACTTCCCATAACCAGTACGAATTTCTCCAATTGGCTGTTGTCCTTGACTCTGATTATCGTTTTTTGTTAAAACATATCGAGTCCTTGAACGTTGATTACTACCACTCATGAATTAATCGCGAAGATATTTAGTGTGATGAGGGTAAAAATGCATCTATAATTGGCAAAAACAAATATCGTTTTTGTCCTCATCAATTTTAACAATATGTGGCTAAAAGATGTATAAGAAAAAGAAAAACAAGAACACATTCAAGAACTTTCTCTAATTACAGCCAGAGGTCCACAATAAATTTTTACTCATGCACTAATCGTTTAATCTACATATTGTTTAAACAAATACGACTGATGTATGACGATTATTTCTCAGCTATGTACAGAAACACAACTTATGTGAAAAACTAATGAAGATATTTGCAACGCACCTCGACGGTTAAACTTATCAAACGAACTGCTGTTTTTATAGAATGTTTAGATTATCCGATGATTAGAAGCATGATTTCGTCTTAAATAGAACAAACATCAATGAGAATATAAATAGAATAGATAATTTCGTTTCAAGTACGATTCGTTTTAGCTATCGTACCGATAATATTTATCTCTTAACCACTTTCCCGTAAGCCGAAGTATTATATATTATCTGTTGTTCAGCAATGAGCTTATTTTCAATTTGAAACGCCAAACACATGGAAATTGTGGTTCTAACTAGTTGATTTTCTTTCGTTTTTATACTATTCTTTTCTAAAAGAAAAGATGAATTAAAACTAATTTACACAATCTTTGATAACTGTTGCAAAAGATCTAAACGGCTCCTTCGTGATTGAGACTACTTTTTAAATCTAACTAATAATCATTAAAAAAAAGTGGTCTCAATCATGAAGCCTCGATCTAAACAAATAAGAATCTTTTATTTTTTACAAAATAGCCGAATGCATATTGTTCTTTCCTTTCTATTGGCTTTTAATTGAAAAAAAAACATTGTGAACGAGCTTACCATTAATTACTCTTTTACACCTTGCTTTCGTTATCAGAATTATTCAGACGTAGGTATTAGGTTATTTGATTAATTATAATAGAAGAAAATTCAAGCCCAAAACTAAAAATAAAAAAATAAAAAAGTACGTGTACTGAACGTTTTATCGATATTTTTTTTCTCTTCTGTCAATAAAGAATAACAACAGGTTAAAATTATTTTTCTTGTGTAGTAAGCAGCGTGTTCTGTGAGAACGGAAAGCCTTGCAGTATTTCGAGTCTATGTGTTGTAATTTATATTTATGTATAAAAAATGTGTTTCATACTACTCAAAATGAAAACTAGTTATATACCCAGTAGTGTTTTACTTTTTTGATACGTATTAAAGATTAACGTCACTCAAAATTAGTTAAATAATAAGCAAAACCTCTGAGATGCCTAAACAATTTAGGATATATAAACCTTATATGTCTGAACCAGTAGTTTAGTTAAAGATATTTCAAAAACCACAGATTTGTTGTATAAAAACAAAAGAATCAAAAAAATTCTTCATTCAAACCAGAACTAATTGCTCTCTTCTCAAAATATCGCCCCTTTTTACTATTATCATGAAGGTAAAGAAGTGTACGAGTGTGATTTTAATACCTAAATCCGACTCGTACATCCTCTTCCTCCGTAACTCTGAAGTATGTGACACATCTGTCTCGGAAAGGATTATAGAAGGATGTAGTTTTAAGATCTGAGAGGTATAACGGCCGTTCACCACATACTACTCCTCCAGCTATATTTCGCAGATCCTTGTAGACAGTTATTTCATATCTTTGTCTTAGCACTAACCATTGGCGAATTATGACATTTTTTTAAATGAAACTATGTTTCTTAAAAAATCAGTCATTTTGTGTCTGATAGAATACAAGAAACGTCACTTTTTCTAAAAGTGTTTCTTTCTACCTGGACACTATTTCGATTTGAAATTTTTTAGAAATACTCTGATATATTTGTAGATTGTTCACATACATTGTTTTATCTTAATGGATTGGATTTCTCATCGAAAATACATACAATAAAATGAAAATGACTTGAAAACTCAGAATCAAGCCTAAACCACCAAAACTAGGTACGATGCGCCTCATTTCTATGCAAAAAACGCTTCAAGGTCACTTCTGTCTCAGAAAATAGGAAAGTTGAACTAAAGAAAAAACTTACAAATGTTATAACCCGGCAATGGTCCGCCTGAAAAAGGCTGAAATTTTATAAATGATAAATAATTCACATGAACTATACTTCTACGAAACTTCAAGTCAGAGATCTTATGACTGGCGAGGTACAGGGTTTTGCTTTTGTGGAGTACTTTAATATATATTTCATACATAACCACAACAAAACAAGAACAAAGAATTTGATTTCAATTGAAATTATGGTAAAAAACTAGAGAATTACAGAAGTCTGAGTTGTTTACATCACATATTCCCTAGTGAATGTACTTAGAAAAGTACTTGGATAAGTAATGTCCAGGGTACCTGGTTTTTTACAAGTAAAAAAGGTACTTATCAAGTAATTTAGCAAGTATAAGTAATTCACTTCTTATAAGGAAGATCATGATAAGTTTTTAATAAATATTAATAATCTCTTCCTAATTTTATTTATTTTTCTTTTACTGATTCGATGACGTTTCGACGATGAAATCGTCTTCCTCAGATCAAAATATTTACAATTTGAAACATGGAACACAACACTAAAACTATATATAGTGTATCACATGTCTTTTGGTCTTTTCTTTTGATAGTGGTATGGAGACAAGACGGTGATACTGACAGAAGTTACTTCTTTTCTTCCTCCGTACCACTATCATCGTCTTGTCCCAAATTTGCAGTTCTTTGATGTTGTTCAAAGGTTTGTTGTTTCAATTTGATTATCTTTTTAATTTGTTGTTTGGCAATTGAAACAACAAATTTGGGACAAGACGGTGATAGTGGTACGGAGGAAGAAAAGAAGTAACTTCTGTCAGTATCACCGTCTTGTCTCCATACCACTATCAAAAGAAAAGACCAAAAGACAAGAAGAAAACATGTGATACACTATATATAGTTTTAGTGTTGTGTTCCATGTTTCAAATTGTAAATATTTTGATCTGAGGAAGACGATTTCATCGTCGAAACGTCATCGAATCAGTAAAAGAAATAAATAAAATTAGGAAGAGATTATTAACATTTATTAAAAAGTATAAGTAATAGGTATGTACTTCATCAGGTATTTGATAGGTAACCTGGTAAGTACTTGCGAAATATATGCATATATCGAAAGTTCTTACAAATACTTGGCACGTATTAAATCTAAAAATGCTTGACAAGTGCTTAACCAAGTACTTTAGAAAATTTGCAAGTAGCTAAGTACCTGATCTCAAGTACATTTACTAGGGTCTCTATATTCTTCAAAAATAAACAATTCTACTGAACACATGCGTTGATTTCAAATACTTTCTCCGAGAATGCCTACTTGCTCAACCGACCAGAGAAGCTCAGACATAGTCTGCAGAGTTAACCATTTCAAGCTGGCCAACGTCAAATGACAACACTTTCTGTTCTGCCTTAGAACTAGCCGGATGAAAAGGCATAGACATAAGCAAACACGCGCGTCCCTATGACTAAAATCCAAACGCTTAGTATGTGGATTCGATGTAAAATTTCAGAGCAACTCACACATACAGAGCAAATATTTATGAACAAAAAATGAAACATTTTCAAGTTTTCCAGGATATTTTTTCAAGTCGCAATCAAAATAATGATGATGAAAGAGAAACAAAGAAAGTGTGACCGTTAAACATAATATAATCAATTGATTTTGTCAGGTTTTAGCTCATTTTCTATTACAGAACAAGCGTTAGTATGCATTAAGGTAGAAAAGCAGTAATCTGATAAACAATAGAGATATTTTTGACAGCTCTCCTGTGAAAAGTGGTACATTTGCAGTAAAAACCATTTACACCCACTATTAAACTCAACTTTCACCAAACTACTTGTTCAAAGAGACAATTCAAGTAAAAAAAAGATGAGATGAAAAACACATATTATCATTTAACTTTATTTGTTTGTTCTTTCTATCAATGGAAAAAAAGAGTGAATATAAACAAAATAAAAACATTTGCTCTCTTTGCAAATCTTGTATACATTTAAACGGTCAAAAAAAAAATGAAAAAAGATAAAAAATACATTAGTTAATAATACCGAGTATTCGTTGCCAAAAAAAGTTTTGTAATTTTGGTTTATGTTGTTTTGGATTTCTGTAAAAAATAATTGATTGTCATTTTTTTTATACAAAAAAACTACACATACATTTGACTATTTACAATTGAACATAAAAAACAAAAAACAACATATAAACATCAATCAATTTGATGTTCATTTAGACTTATTTATGCCTTGAAATTAGTTTTGATATTGGTGTTATGTGCACCACGAATTCTGAATAATCTTGAACTATACATTCAACACATGTTTCAAACGATGTTACATCTACAAAAAGAACAAAAACAACTTTTAAAAAATCATAAAGTAATATCTTTGGTTTACATACCGGATATTCGGGATATTCTGAACTTGCTATATGTGTATTATCGCTTGTATTTGACGGTGATCTTAGACGAAATGATTCGCTAAGACTATGTGTCAGAAATGTGTGCATTGGTGAAGTCGAACGAGCTGGACCATCACTGCCATAAACACCTTCTTGAGTTACGGTAATAAGACTATTAGCTTTTCGGTTTAAATTTTGCTGTTGTTGAGTACACAAATCTAATCGATTAAGTTGCGAACTAGAATTTTGTTGGTTTTCTTTCATAGGAATGACATTAATTGTAGTTAAAGGAGTTGCCGACAAGGGCATTTGTAAATCATTCTGTTCTCTATTCTCATCGTCCTCGTCATCGTCACTATTATTATTGTTATTGGTTTGAGCACCGGAACGATCATGCTGAAACAGAAAAAGATGAAAATGTCACTTAGTTGTAAGTTAAAACCATTTATTTGACGTATCTTTTATCTACAAGTTTCACTAAGGATTTTCCAGTCAACAACACTCATATCCTGTTGAGTTAATCATCTCCGAAGAAATGACTGACAATTAGATTTTTAAAATTCCAAGATATAGAATAGTAAAAAAATAGTAATAAAACTAGTAAAAATTTAAAAATTAGGTAGAACTGAGCTTGAGAACCATTCATGATTGGTTGTTTGATTGTTGCCAAATCTTAAGCTCACTTTTGATTATTAGACTGTGATCGTTTATTGTCATGAAATAAAGAAATGCTGTACGATAGCTTTTTCTTAGTAAAAAGAGAATTTCTCTGATAATACATAACTTACTACATAGTAGTACCGATCATTGTCGATCATGATTATCAGCGATCGATCGTCAGTATTGCTAGAACGTCTGTCACAGTTTACGGTGAATAACTTTTGCTCCTGGCGAACGTTGTGTGGTATCATCTGACATTCTGTCACCTCACCTTCATTTTATCTTTCATCTGTGTCTTTTTTCTGGTAATTTTCCTACTCTATGACAAAATGCATATGTCGTTCCTATTCACAAAAAAGGTGCTCTTGCTTATATTGCTAACTATCGTCCTATCTCTCTTTTTCCCATTGTGTCTAATGTGTTTGAGCGTTTTATTTATAATTTTCTTTTTTCTCATCTCTCTAAATATTCTTTTTTTTTGTAAATAAACAATTTGGCTTTTGCCCTAAACATTCCACTTTTAATGCTGTTTCTTCTGTTCTGTTGATGTTGTTTCTCTCTCATACTGTCTCGAACTTTTAGAATGCTTGTGTGAAGTATACTGGTATGTTTTTGAATTTTTCTAAAGCTTTCGATTCTGTATCTATTCTTTTTGTTTAAAAAATTGTCCCGTTATGATGTGAATGGTTGTTTACTTTCGCCTTTGTCTTCTTATCTTCCCAATCGCGTGTACATGATTCTATCTCTTCTCTTATTTTTTCTGGCGTTCTTCAAGGCAGTGCACTTGGGCCACATTTGTGTGCTTATTTTTATTAATGATTTGCCTCTTTCGCTTCCAAAAATTGCGAATCTGTTTTTTGTAGATGATGTCTTTTTAATGGTACCTCTTTCGTCTTTTGATTCCCTCGATTTCTTTCATGTTTAAAACTGTATAAATTCTGCTTCAAATTGGTCTTCCTGTAATCTCATGTCTCTAAATGTATCCAAATGTTCTTGGCTTCCTTTTTCTTTTGACCTTTTTCCGTTTTTTTACAATCAACTATATCTAAATAACGTTCCTCTTTCTGTTGTTTCTTCTATTCGCTGTCTTGGTTTTTGTTTCGCACGATCTGAGATGGACCGATCATGCTAGTGACATTGCTCTTGCTTGCCGGCACAAGCTGGGAACACTAAGTCGTGTCGTTGGATTAGCTCCATAGCTTATATGATAGTGCGTTTTCTTTATCCGTTCTAGACTCTGTAAACAATTTCCCGTGTTATCTTCACACGACCGTTCTTCTAGCTCTTTACTTGTGCCTCAACTGTCTCTTCCAAATCTGTTACTTTGTCATAAATATTTTCGGCTAGTACAGTTTTTCAAAATTTATCATTATCTTAGTCTTCTTTTTATACTGTTGATCGGCCCATATAACGTTTCTTCGCTACGTTGTCAACATTCCAAATATGTTCGTATTCCGCCTCCTGTCAATGATTTTTCTCCACAAGCCGTTTCTTCTTCCTTCTTTTATTCAATAGTTACTAACTGGAACAAACTGCCGGAATCAGTCATCTGTTCATCTTCTTTATCGTCATTCAAAATAGCTCTATCTCAGCATCTTCTACAGTAGACCTTAGCCACGTGTACAGTTATGAAACAAGCCCAGTGCTGTTACTTCCTACTATTATTTTGTTTCTTTTATTTTTATCTCTCTTTATACACTAGTTTTCTGTTTCTTTTTAACTTTCTCTATTTATAGTTCCTTTTTGTTGCTGTTTGGCCTGAGTCATTGTTATTATAGGTCGATTATCTTTTTTTGATGACTCTCACTTTCGTGAATCAGTAAATTAGCCTTAGCCGTAGGCTACGTTTACACTACAAAAGTTAACTCAATATTATGAAAGATAACTGGCAGAAAAGTTATAGAAAAGTTAACTCGGAGTTAACTCTGAAAATTTGCTAGTGTAAACATAGCCTTATCCTAAAGCTGATCTGATTAATAAATTATGGATCAAAATATTCCCTGATTAGCGCATACGAACCAATTGAAATATGTCGTAACTGATGTCAGTGAAGAATGAAGTCAAGCATTAATATTTCTTTCACTGTTCGCCAGTGTCAACGCAAACTACAATAATACTAGTATCGGGCGTGGAAGTAAAATTATCTGACAGTTATCTTGACCTGAATTGTTTTGAATCTAGAAACAAAGGAGTGATAAACCTTAATTTTTTTGAATCTATCTTGTGACATTGATTCGAAGCATTACTCTGAAAAATATTGATCCAGAATTTTCCGCTCTAGTGTTCAACAAAAATAGTCAACAATTAAGTTTCTCCCGATAACTGCTCAACTAAAACTACTTAAACCTGATAATCAAGTATAGCTAATAAACTCTCTAACGGGCGTCTCGGATTAAATGAGCCTCTCAGTATTTTGCTTTTTTTCTGCTTTTATTTTGCTAACTTGGTTGGATTTTTTTCCGAGACTCGATATTTTTTTAACAGATGTGGTGCGAAATACTCTACCTAAAAAAATTATACCTAAACTATAATTTCAGAACTTCAATCAAGAAAACTAAGCCAGTTAGGTGAAAATACAAACTTTCCAAACTCAAAATTGTTTTTTGACTTGAACTTTTCTGCTACTATTTCCGCCAAAAAGTGTAGCAAAAGTGAGAAACCTGTTTATGTTTGGTACTTTCAAATGTGCTCTTTCTCGTGGTCTGTAAAAAAATTCTTTTAAAGCAGATGGTGTGCTGGAGAACGAAGTTACAAAAATACGTCAAAAGTTGACAACCTCCTCGTTTCCAACAATGTGCTCAAGCAAGACACAGAAAACATGATTGAAGTTTTAGTTTTACAGTTAGATAGAGAAGGGCAATCATTAATGATCAAAACAAAACAAATCCAATCGAAAAAGCTTTTATTTTGATGGAGTTATGGGACTTTTATTGAAAGCACCACCATACGCAGACTTTAAAAAATTAATGAAAAACTGCATGATAACCAACAGAAAAACTATTATTTCGCTGTGGCTTTTGATGTAAAAAAATTTGAAGCATAGATAAAAGATCGAGCGAAGTCAAGGCTCCAAAATGGTCAATTCAGTTTTTCTTACTTTCAAAATGTTAACACAAGAAATCATTTTCGAGTTTGGAAAGTTCACATTTTTTTCGACTTTCATCTAATTGGTTGGTTTTTTTGATTGAAGTTCTGAAATTATAGTTTAGATATGATTTTGTAGAGTATTTCGCAACGCATCTTTTAAAGAAAACATCGAGTCTCGGAAACACATCCAAACCAAGTTATAAGCAAAATACTGAGAGGCTCATTTATTCTGGGACACCCGTTATGCAATATTGAACGTCTGCTTAATTTGAATCGTGTTACTATGCTAAATTTTAAATTTATCTATTTCGATCTGAAATATTTTGAACTGTTTACGTTTTTCGGCGGATAAAAGTTATTATCAGTAAAAGGAATATATAATCATCTCCCTATTTTCTTACACTATGTCTATACGACGGTTTTCTTTTACAACACCACCATTTTTTCTTTTTTAGAAAGAAATTGGACGGTTGTGAAATGTAACGTCCTCGCACTGATAAAGAGCCACCACCAGCACCGCCACCACCAGTACCACTCATAATATTATCTGGACCCATTTCAACGAATTCACGATCCTAAATTAAAAGAAATAGATACTGACATAAATGGGTATATTATTCGTATTGGTATTTACAGTTGTTAATTCTAGACAGTGTAATAAATGATGATGTTGCAGTTCAAATGGATTTGACAATGTTGTTCGATCGTGGTTATCATCAAGTAGATATTGTTCACGACGACGTTTTGCTGCTACAAATGCATTACTAGTCGCATTACGAGCTAAACGAATTCGTGTTTGACGAGCTTTCTAAACACGAAAATTAAACTATAATTGTGTAAAGATGTATCTCTATTTAATTTGTTGATAACCCTTACCCTCTGCGCTTTCATTTTATCCGCTCGTTGACTTTGGTGATAAATACGACTAAAATTTGACACGATGACTGGAACTGGTAATGCTATGACAAGTACGCCACTCAATGAGCACACACCACCTACAATTTTCCCTGTCCATGTTTTTGGAACCATGTCACCGTATCTAGAAGATAGAATATCATACTTACAGTTCAAAAATAATTTTAAGACCTTATCAACATCTCCGACTACTGTTCGTCTATTGAATTTCGACGTTTGTTATTTCTTCTGCTGAAAATCTACATCATTTATTCTCCTTTTACATTGGAGAAGTAGTGTACGATGGATTTTGAAAAAAATGAATGTTGATGTTTTCTATGGATCAAAGCTTAGCCTATTAAAGTGAGATCACTGTTCTTTGAACTATAATGACACTTATATTCATTAAAAGAGATATACGTCAAGGAGAAAAATATTCACTGTATAACCTAGTTAAGAAGAATCTATTTTTAAATGCCATATGTTTAATAGGTACATGTGCCACAATTTTGTTTGTTTGTCTATCTAGATCTGTACTTGAAATAGATCAAATTCACTGCATGTAAGCTACGAAAAATAGAGTATGTGTGTACAATATATTTATTCAAGATAATATATATTCTATCTTTATTTGTCAATACACAAATGATCATGCTAATTTACTAACGTCATATAAAGTATATCAGTCGACAACAGATTTAACATATCACACTTGCTCTTTTTCTCTTTTTTTCCCTTCAAAATATCGAGATGCGAAGGATACCGAAATAATCGTGATTTACATGCATACATTTTATCAGATTTTAAAAATAACAGCCTGGGAACAAATGGATTTTCGAATCAACAATGTCGATCCATAATTTTTAGCTCGATTTATAAGTAAAGCCTAGGAATATTTTTCAAAATAAAAGCTGCTTTGCAACATAATAATTTTTGCGAATTTTTCAGATAAAATGTTTTTTTCAACTCTTGACGCTATACAGAGCTGAAAACCGGCAAATCATATGAAACCAAGTATGCAGATCTTGGATAAACAGATCTTTGTTACAAGTCTCTGTTTATGTTGTGTATCCAAAGACTATAGCAATACTTCAGAGGAAAAGATTCCGCATAATGGGATATAAAAAACCCAAACATTGCTTTACGAAAAAAAAATACTTTATAATGTAACTTTAGCTTATTAGTCAAGAATTTGTGAGTATATTTAACAAGGCAAGATGTATCTATTACATCTGCGTTCTATGAGAAAATTTCTCATAGCTGCTTGCATGGTTTAAGCTTAAAAAACTTACTATATTTAAGCTCAAACAAAATGAGTTTGAGTTACACCTACCCAAGTGTTGTCATTGTAACAATGGTGTACCAAAATGCTGCTGGTATACTTGTAAATTTTGTATATACCACGCTTTTTTCTGCATAGTACATAACAGTAGCAAAAATAATAATAGCCATTGTTAACGAAAATAAGAGAAAACCGAGTTCGCTCGCACAACTTTTTAGCGTATAACCGAGAACACGTAATCCTTGACTATGCCGAGAAAATTTAAATATCCTAAATACACGAAATACACGCAACGTCACAAATGCGCCGCTCACTTCACCTTTATGTGACATAAATAAACCGATATAATATGGCATAATGGCGACAACGTCGATGACACTCATTACACTTCGAACAAATTTCAAACGATCGGGTGCTGCGTACAGTCGAAGAAAATATTCTACCGTAAATATCATAACACAGGCAGTATCGAGACAAAAAAATTGTTGTGAAAATCGTTCACCGCATGACCAAATATAACCAGTCTCAGGATTTGGTCCACAAGCAACCGTATCGAAAACATTTGCGATTACCGAAACGGCAATAAAAACTCCTGTTACATAATAGAAAACGGATGCCATTGTCGATGTATTTGGGTTTTCGAATGCTCGCCACATCGATTCGCGAACTGACTTTGGCTGTGGCTGAGCTTTGTCTTCATCTTCATGTAAACGATCATCAATGAGACGTTCTTGGTTTTCTCGCTTACGATCACGATAATCTTCATAACAACAATCACCGATAATATCCGGTAGTATTCCGAAAAAAGCGAGCTCTTCGTCATAAGCCGCTATACATTCGTGTTTAGCATAGTGTAGCTTGCCAGTTCGATAAAAGTTTAGTATAATTCGAAAAACGTCAGGATCTCGATCGAAAAAATATTCTTTGGTATCTAAGTAAATTTGAAAATCATCGTAAAGAAATACATAATGAAATATAAAATTTCACAGGTTACCTTCATCATAAAAAAATTCTTTTTCATTTGAGCCTAATAATGAATCGGGATATTTCTCTAATGTCGAACGCCAACATTCAAAACGTGTACCGCTTACATTAATTATTATTTTGTCATCACACCTTTTTTCGTTTGGGCTTAATCCGTTTGATGTGGTTGATGTTGATGGTGAGGATGACGTTTGTGGAACACGAAACGGTGGTGGTGGTAATGGATTTTTCGCTAATGGTACCCATCCGATAGCAGCTGCTCTTGCAAACGGAAGCCAAGCAGCAACACTTGCCATATTGTCTAACAAAGACAGACGAAAATTGATCGTAATATATGAAACTGCTCTTGTAAGAGAAGTCTACTCGTTTGCCATTATTATCTTATTATAATTGGCTTTTATTGCTCTACCTGGAAAAGTATCTTTTCTCCCAGTTTACTATGTATTCGACAGAAGTGCATGCATCTGCAGGGCTTTGCCTAAACTTCTAGAATCTCTTTCATGTGCCAACGTTTAATGGTACAGTGAAAATGGAAAAACATTTTTTAATACTGGACAAAAATATGCATCAATTGTACTATTGCATTTCAAATATTGTGAGTTATGAATCTGTAAAAACTTTTTTTCTCAAAACAGAGTCAAAGAATGGTTTCATGCAACTTTGTCTGTTTCTTCTAGATGGAAAAGGCAATAATGATAGAAGACAAAAAAAAAGACAAGAAAAAAAAGAACTTAAAACAAAATCGTCTATCGCCGGAAGTAGTTGAGATCATTAACAACCTCCATTTTTAAAAGAAAATATTCTTCTTCTTCACAGATCGCATTTCATATTGTAAATTGGAAAAAAGATTAACCGACATAAAGCAAATAACTAGTCAACCGTTCGGTATTAAATATGATGATATACAGAATTTAAAGGATATACTCTAAACACGAAAATCCTTGATTTTTGTTCAGACGAACAGATGGTTTTTATATAACAGTTATGATTTCTCTTAAACTAATTCATTGCCAGTCATATGTCATAAGAGAAGTATCATTGTTTGTACATATGAGCGTGGATAGTGCTACACTAAAATATTACAAATGCTTTTAATAGCAATCATATTCTTTATTTTTTTTGTGTATATTAATCTGGTCTTTCTTTCTTTCTTTTCTGTTTTTGTTTCCCTAGATATATATATATATATATATATTGGAGCATCAATTAGACTACAGTTCGTCTTTCATTCATTCGCAATAGAAACAAGCGCTATATAATTTATATTGAAGAATAATAATACCAAAAACAAAAGAAGATATTAATCATTTCTGTAAATAGCTCTCTCTCTATGTTTATGTTTTAGATTTGATTATTTTCTCCAAAAGAAAACTTATATAGTTTAATTTGAATGGATTTAAGAGATTTATCGTAAACGAGATTCTGATTGATAATTAACGCATATTATAAAGTAGGCTGTGTAAAAGTGTTAGACCCAAAAATAGCACCAGTAAGAAAATAATCAGTTAAGAATCTATAAATATCCATATCTAACGAATTTCTCGCAAATGAACTATATTAGTAGCGAAGTGAAGTTAGATACTATAGATACTCGTTTTTTTTCTGTGTTAAAACATGTTTCTGAATTTCGCTCGTTGTTGCTATATTTCTACTTAAAAACTAATAATATAAAGTTGACAACAACAACAACAAAAAGGAAAAGAACTTAGTTATAGTTCTCAAGTATTTATTCAGAAAGAATGGTACTATTTTCTACCATATGTTTATTGCTTTTTCGTTTTTTTTTTTTAATAGATCAATTTTGTCGTTTCCGAATCAATAAAAAAAGGTTCTTCTGTTGTTTAGAAAGACAATTTCATAGCAAAAACTATATGCCTAAAAAAAACTAAACGACGCATCAATTTGGTACCACAAGAGAAAAATTCACAACGTGATAAATCTTATTTTAGAAATTACTAAAGTTAATATTAAAGAGTAATTCACTAATAAAGATAAAGTAGTTCTCAATGTGACAATTGTTCTCGTGTTAATGGAATGCGATAAAATCACGTAGAAACATACATACAAGAAGATATAAAATAAGAAAGAACGATAAGGTTATTTACTTAAGTGGTCGTATTCGAACCCTAGAAAGTTTGAAAGTGCACTAAAACTCAATGATCAATTATCAAAAAGTTCAATAAAAATTACAATAGGGAAAGATGCTGCTATGCATTACCTGAAATTATTTTTATGAATTATTTGTTTATGATGCTTAAATTTTAAAGCTATGCGAACAAAATCCCATAAAAATCATTTGCTACTGGTACTGTTGAGCTATGATTATTAGTACGACCGGTCATACACATAGACTGTGAACAATAATGGAAAACTTCTCGTCATCTATTCTGAACAAAATAGAAAAAAGTTGAAATTAATGCTTAAAAACATTTGATTTTAATTAACTATTTCTTTTCCCTTATGAACGGACAGAAAGAGAGTTGTAGTTGAACAACTGATGTCTATTATGAAGTGGTAGTTATAATGCTCTCTACATTTTAGCTTTATTCCCTATATGCCTTTGATAAGATTCTACGTTAAAAGGACTTAATCAAAATGCAATTTGATAAGCAGTTCGTTTTAAGAAGAAGTGAGTAGCTATTTCAACATGAAACACACCATAGTTAACACAAAATAGCATGTCATATTCCACTTTTACGTTAGACTATCTACGTAAGAAATCTGCGACAACCTTATTAGAGAACGATGCAAAAATGTACCATAAATGGGCATAACACACTGGGTTTCGTCAAACAGTGTCATTAACAATTTTTAATGCACAAAACGACACTAATATTTGTTCGGTGCTAGACTGACATTTTTTGTTGCATTTTTGTCCAGGTCAAAAAATATCGTTTGATCTCATTATAAACTTTAGAAAACTCTGCTACATTCTAGGCTAACTAATTATTTTTTTCTTTTTCTATTACTACATTTAGTAGGTTCTAAATTACACTAAACCACACCATTCAGTATTATATCTCAGTACCGGATACTTCCTACATGGGAAGAGAAAAATATAGACAATCTATAGGGAAGAGAAAGGGATAGCTAAAAACAATACTTTGCACATGTATACGTTTTGCTGTTTTTAGGGATCTGAAGGATTAACACAGAAAACAAACTCTGAGCAATTTAAATGAAAGTAGTATATAGTGTATTCGCACTAAAAACCTAGACTATTTTGATTAACAGTACATTTGAAACTTGGATCAATAATTGTATTTCAATGTTTCTCTTATCTAATAAGTTGAGTAATGAGTTGCTACTAAATATAAAATATGGTTCGCTCAAGAAAGCTGTCATTCGACTAATGCTCTCTCGCACACGAAAAGTATAAACAGTTTACAAAGGTCCTTCAACATGGGTGAGCTTATATAACAGACGGATAAATCCTAATGCATCTATGAACGATTTCAAGGCCATTTGCTCAATTCGATCTTTTATCATGCTCTATTCTTGAAATTGAACGCACAACATCGCAGTTCCACGCAAATTTAAAAGGGAGGTTTGTGAATGCAGACTATTAAACGTAAAAAAGTTTGACTAATGCCTACTTACGCCACTAAAATGGTCGATTAAGACAAATTAATGGAATAAAATCTAAAAAACAGAAAAAAATGTCATTATAAAAATCGTTATCAATTTTAAAATCGTAGTCAATTTGGAGTATCAAGTTTAGGATAACCTCTGTAAAAGATTTTACGCGTCTATCTACAAGCAAATTTCATTTGAACAAGATATTTTTTAAATTTTATTGTGATGTGCAAGATTTTTTTCGTCTTTAAAACGAATGAATATACCCGCCTTTGTAAATGAAATGTTTGATTTGCCATATAATTGTTTGTTCGAAAATCAAAAAAAGATAGAAATTTGTGGAATAATTGGATCGATAATCGAGTAAATAAATTTATTTAAATATATTTTATTTTATCTTCTTTTTCTTTTATGTTTAAGGTTAATCACAGTGTCGTTGATGAATGAAATCATTTTTTTCAAAATATAATAGAAAAAAATTGTTTATAGAGAACGATGATATTGATGATGTAAAAAATAGAGAGAAATAATCGTTTTCGAGGTGTAGAATACGTTATATAAGATTGTAGAATTATTTTTTATTTGATTGTTATTTAAAAACATATTTGATTGTTATATAACAACAATATTTTGTTTCATTAATTTTTAGTATTAAGTATATAAAAAAATAATATTTTGTGAATTTTTTTTGTTAACTATATTAGTGTAAATTATCTCTTCTATAAGATACATGATCTAAAATAGAAAGAAAACACAGAACAGTGGCGTATAATACATAAAATAATTAACTGTTAATAATTAACATTCATATTTTGAAGATGATTGGAAGTTACACTATGCCATCAAATGGTAATAATTAAATTAACGGTGTTGTTCATCATGAGGAGAAGAAAACTGGGAAAAAAATAGTTGAAAAAAAAATAATAAAATAAAAATATAACAAAAGGTTTTCTGCAAGAGTAGACATTATCATTGCTTGAAAAATCACTCTACCTTTATCGAGTTAAGAGTGCCGATATTCTTGTTGACAAATGTCAGTTTAAATCCACCTCTTTTCATATTGTTCTGTTGTTAATTATACGGAGAGTTACCAATTTCAAAATAGAAAACATACTTTTCATAAATTAATGAAGCATAATAATTACAATAGGTAAAAGTTATTTTAGTCTGTGCTTAGTATGCGTTCTTCTTCTTCTTCTTCGTGTTCGTCTTATGGATTGAACAAACAAGAAAAACGTTTTTTTAAAAAAAAATCTAATATGTTTTCTTTTTCTTCTCTTTCTCACTTTTGTTGATCCTTTTTTGTTCTGTTGTTGGGCAAATAATTGAAAAAAACTTTATAGTCTACACGTTAATACTAGCCCCAGTGACAAAAGTAGAAGAGAAAAGAAGATATCTCAATGATTATGATTATGACGTTAGAAGCGTACACATACATACATACACATACACACACACACACACACAACCGGGTTTTGTGTGTGTGTATTCGTCTAAAAAAACGTTTTTGTTCTATCATTTCCGGTAAGGAGACATATAACCTTTCTTCTTCTCCTTCATCATACTCTAGTTTCTTATATTAGAAACTACTTGTGCTTAGGAACATTGACATTCAATTTTTTTTATGAACGAGAGAGAATAATAACACATGGAGTACCTCACACACGAAATAGGAAAAACAATGAACTGATTTTCTTTTCGCTCTCTCCCTCACGCTCTA